ACCTACCAAAAATACCCCAATAATAATAGACTAATGAACTCTCCCCGCACGGTATGGGGGAGGAGCCAAAGATTAATTTTCTAAGATTCCGAAGGCAACAACCGTGGAGTTCCTACAGTGTATACTTTTAAGTCCTACTGTATTTCATCTTCCCATCGCCTCCGACGACCGAGTCCCAGCTTAGGTACTGACTGTACTTATTAAGAGGGCACTAACCTACATACGTACATATCTGTTAAAAACAGCCATCATCATCTCACATTCAAGGATATTATGTACATATCTGATGTACCTGAACATCGAAATCAGGTATCAGCTATCAGGTGTCATGGGCAACGGATATTATCTCCAGGGTACATATCTGCTACCTACTGCTGAGATCTTTTCCCGTCGATACGGCAACCTTTTACTTAACTTACACACACGTACATGTTAACATCCAGGGCTATTTATCAAGATGGGAAAACAGGCCATCTTCGACGAGTTCTTTTCTTTCTTTCTTAATTCGTTTCCGCTCGTATCCCGATCTCTTCTCTTACTTTTAAAGTAGACCTTTCCTACACGGGAAGTGATTGCGCGGGATTGGCTGGTCAGTGGAACCCCTTCAAGAATACTACACTACCTCATTCCCTCCCTACCTTAGATAGAATTCCATCGGGTCCATTCAAAGGACCCCTAACTAAACCTTTCTGCCAGCAGTATGTATGTAAACGACATCGTCGACCACACTCCCGAGGCGCAAGCGGCAAATGTCGCCACATACTATTGGTACTGGACATCTGGTTCGCCCAAGTTTGTCTGCTTCTTTAGCGTCGCCTATGCATCTCTTGCATCTCTTGCAGCATTAGCTTTTTCCCCTCACCTCAGTACAACACAACTAGTATCCCGATTTCACTTGTAGCCTTATCGATTTCAATGGGTCCGGCCTTTGTTTCCTAGCTGATGACTACCTACCTACCTACCTAGGTACATACTTGAAGGAACAAGTCCCCGTTCTGCCCGTCCGTAATAAGAGGTAGCAAGGTAAGCAGAGAGGTTTTTTCGTTCGCCTTTTTTTTTTTTTTTTTTCGCTGCCTGCGTGGCATCCCATGATTCTTGAGCACAAATCCCAGTCTAGGATCACTCGGCCCATGGCTGTTTCTGAACAACGTGAGTCTTCCAATTATCAGCCGGCAACTTGAGACGTGCGCATTTGGCTTGATAATGACCAATTCTTCATAGTATGTCTACCATGTAAGTGGAAGGTATTTTATAACAATACTTAATAAGCCCAATTTGCTATTTTATCAGCGCCTTGCATCACAAAGTCTTTCCCACGGACGTTTTCTTTTGCCTAGTAGGGAATATCATTCGTCCACCGGCTAGACTTCAACCCTTCCCTGTTACCACGCTGCAATCCAAGGGAGTCGGGACTACGGGCCAACGTTTTCATCTGACGAGAAACTAAATTAAAATGAACCCACCGCTTGCCTAGCTTACACCAGGTGTACAATGCGAATTTACGGCTTTATTACTGCAATGGCCGAGCTGACAATCGTCAATTACATTCCATTCCAAGTAAAGAAACGTTTAATCCTGAGTTGTTTTCAGCTCCAAAACTTAGTGTGCATAGAAATAGCAAAGCCTTTTTGATCAACAATTTTGAGTTGTCACTACACACTACAGAAAGAAGATGAAGACAACTCAAATAATAAGTCCGTCCAATTTCGAGACCATAACCTACCTCCTAGGTACCCTGTAATATCATGACTCGCAAAGCCTAGATCGCATTTATACATTTATAAATGGGTTGAGGAATTATTACGTTGCCTTACACCTCTTTGATATTCAATTCTTACGCATGCCTCTGCGCAGTCAAATATGCCCACGTCCCAATGAAGTCATCCGCTTCCCGACAAAAAGTCGTCCACTTCTACATCACGGGTTATTTCGCATGTAAGTAGTCCCCTTCGGCTTTCGGTCTAGCGTTAAGGCCGTTATCATGTCTTGGGATATTGTTATTTTTAACAAGTGTCCAATGCCGTTACCTTTAATAATACCTACCTGTATATGTAATATTCGCGCCCAGAGAAACTTTTATGTAGGTGTATACACAATTCCCAGACCGAGACCCAGACCGAGCCAACTTCTAAACAATCCTCCAGCGGCATTGGCCAGATAGATAGGCCTATAAAAAGGAATCCAGTTTTACATATGCGTTTCGTCGTCATTTGAATAGGCGGGCCTTTTAACCGCACGCCGAGCAACCCGAATATAATACATTTAGTAATATAATTATGTCTCCTGCCTCAAAGCCGAAGCGTCTGTTACGACAGACTTGTTTAACTTGATATAGTGGCAGCAGTGCCGCTCGTCAGCCCTTGTTAATAATCCTTCATGAGGCTCCATTGAAGACTTCGTATTTTCTTCCCCCCTCCCCTCCTATCGAACTGGATAGGATACTATTCCTTAGCTATACATAATAAACCCGTAATCATTGTCTCCGTAGCCAGTCTACCCCATGTACGGGCCTTCGTCTTCGCTATTCCTTTACACCTAAAATGTAATGTAATACATACACAGCTGTGTCGCGCTCAGACCGCCAGATCTTATAAAGGATCTCTAGCTCGCCCCTGTAGCAAGCAAGCACTCCTCGTGGAATGGAAGGATACCTTAGGGTAGGTACGTATGTACGTATGTATGTATTTAGGTTCATATTACCTACATACCTAGGTATTACCTATTACCTAGGCAGCACGTAAGAGAATCAGCCCCCCAAGGGTTCGACAGCGCATGCTTTGCCCCTCCTAAACCCTGCCGGCCATGGACAGAGTCTTGCCGAACCCGTCACATGTACCCCAGGCATGCCTCAGGAAGCACGCCAAGACGGTTTGACGATCGAAGCTGAGACCCGGAACCCAATTTCTTTCTCGCATCCTGAAGGAGGCAATTGCTACGGCTTATTTAATAAGAGCGTTTAATAACTGTTTCTATTTCATGTCCCTCTTATCTCCGCGTATAGCGGCGCCGGCAGATACCATGTGTCTCATAGGTACTACGCCATGACATCAAACTATGTGATGCTTGTTTAACGGCTTCTTCCCCCCTCAAACTAAATCATCGAGGCCGCGTTAAGTAGTAAACATAATCCCCTCGAATTGTTTCGCTCCAGAAACGCCTAACGTGGCTACCTAACGCCGCCAAACAATGATGCGTTCCGTCTAGATTCCACGATTGAACACGACCATGCCCCCATCTCCTCCACGACCGTGGAATTCTTCCTCTAAGCTCTCGGCGCTAATCTTCTGGCGCTGCGGGAACGCCGCCAGCGCAAACGGTAGGGCGAGGAAACTCATGCCGAGAATCAAGCCGAGGTTGATAGGCAGTGTGTAGCGAGGGTTCTTCTTGAGCCACTCGGTGCGCTGAAGGCGCACAAGGATCAGCGGTGGGACGACCATGATAGGGCTGCTATTGAAGACACGGCTGAGTGCCGTCTCGCTGACCGCTAGCGTCGCCGCCTTCTTGCTCTTGCCCAGGCTCGGCACGTCATTTTCAGCTTTGCCCTCCTTTGCCAGTCGCGCCTTGTCCGCCTCCGAGAGCACGGGGAAGACGTCAATTCCCGTCCGTATCTCCTCGCCGCGCATGAGGAACACGTTGAGTGCACCGGCGGACGCTACGGCTGCAAAGGGTACGAGCCGCCCAAGGACGAGCTTCGTCGAGGGCGAGAATCCCTTCAGACGAGGGATGATCGAATTCAGACCTACTGCCACGGAACAGGACGCGCCGACAGCAAGGAAGTACGACTGGGCGATTTTCGAGTAGGATAGTGGGTTTGATTTGTTCGCGTTCGCGTGGTTGATGGCAACATTAAGAGACTGGTTGGTGATTTGCCAGAGGACAGTTCCTGTGTTCTATGATTGCGCTTCAAGGTAAGTATCTCTTCAAGCCACTTCTGCTCAGGTCTACAGTACAGGATAGCGCGCATACCTTTAAACCCGGCGTAAGCATACCAGCTGTGACGACCAAGTTCGAGAACACAAAACAAGACATTCGGAAGGGGAGGAGGACTGGCTCTCCGGTTTCTAAGGAGCCCAATTAACCCAACAGTTCGAAACTACGGAACACGTCAAGTTCATCGTGCTATCGTACCAGGATGTAGTGTAGAGTCGACGATCTTCTTTGCCTTCCATAATTCTGGCGTCATATCCTTGATCTCGCCTTGCTTATATGCGACCAGCAGCCTTTTGGCTTGTTCGAGACCATGGTTTCCAACGAAGAGGGTTCTATTACGGACAGACACACGTTAGAGGAATAGTCACTAGTAAAGAATTGGAAGAGGTAGTAATACCTTGGATCTGTAATCGTTGCCGTCTGTTTGACGCGGCCCCAATACGTGCTTAAGTCATATTGCGACTCGGGCAGCTCCCGACTTCCAGGCAAAGAAGCCGACATAGTGAGAGTTGGGATTTGTTCGATTCCTTCGCTCAATTACACGCGACCAATTGCCAGAGTTGAAAGGAGCGGACAGCTGGTCCTACAAGCCCAGCCAACGTAAGAAGGCTGTCGGCATAAACAGGTAGTGGAAGCGGAAGTACTTATCACTTATCACTTATCCTCCGTTATTGCACTCTTTGTATAAGTCGGTCCCGGCGATAAAACCCTTAGATTGCGGCTTCAACCGGCATTCTCACAAAGCAATATTTGAGTGGGCCGATCTCGGCCGTTGTATCCTCTTTTTCGTACTTTTTTATTTCTCAGGTGCGTACAGGTACATAGATAGCAGGGCAACGCGGGGTACATGCATGCCTCCCAGATTGTAGGTATGCAGAAAGATTCTATTATGTTAAATAGGACGTTGAAAATAACAGAATGGTAAAAACAAAAAAAAAAAAAAAAAAAGGGAATCAAGACGTATAGAATATATAAACGCAGGCATAATCATACTTCAAAACCAAAGGTAGGAAAATCCAAAAAATTACATCCCAGAGTTGACTCTGGGTTGAAGAGATGGCTTGAAAATTCGAGCACAGCAGGGATCGAACCTGCAATCTTCAGAGGTAGTCGTAGTAACCGAAATCTGACGCCTTACCATTAGGCCATGCGCCCCGTTGAAGACCGAGCAAGAAAAATAGCTTTATATGTGATGTGGTGTTCTACACTTTTGTGCAAACAAATCATCCCATCATCCAATCATCCAATCATCTCACGCATGCATGTGCGTACTATCTATGTGGAGACCTGCTTAGCGTCAATTAGGTAGATTTAGCTACGTTTAATCTTCTTGCTGGTTGTTTTCTCACTAGCCACTAGGTCAGGTAAATCACAAAACCCGACCCAAGGGCCATGTTTGTAATAGAAGCATACATTAAATTAAGTATGATGGCTAAGGTATCTAAAACACATGCTTTTAAATATCTCATTACATATGTGGGTAATATTCGCATAACCCACCCATACTATAATACTCCAAGTCAAGTATCGTCCCCTACAGCTTCTTCGACTGTTTCCAATCGTCAAAGTCCTTCAGCCACTTCTTCACCGTCTTGATCTCCCACTTGTGCGCCTCTCGAATGAACTGCGGCTCGGCTTCTACATTCAGGATGCCGTACGAGTCCCAGTGGTGACCTGCCCCCGTGATGAGTAGCTCCGGGTGCAGGTCGGACGACGTACGCGCGGGCGCGAAGTTGGAGTGGTAGCATAGGTCGTTCCACACGTCCTGGTCCCCGTCGATGAATGCCAGTCGGTCGGCGGTGAAATTAAATGCCCCGAAGTTGTTGTATGCATCCACGTCTGGGGTGGAGGGGATTGAGTTGTATTTTCCCGGGGCAAATGCCCAGCGGCACCATTGTTGCTCATAGTCGGTATCTACCACTCGAGACAATAAAGCCGGTCCCTCTTTTGGCGCAGCGATATATGCACCCTTAGTTTATTAGTTTCTAGTTCATGCGTGGGGATCAAGAGGTATATGGCGGTATCCTCACCTGTTCTATACAGCTTGTGTAAAGATATGAGCGTGTAGAAGTGTTTTCTATACTAGCCCATGCCGATGCGTTTTGAGTTCCCTATAGAGATAATTAGTTACCGGTGAGTCGATATTCAGTGTGGCTGCCGTGCAAGAGGGGATCAAATGGTTACTCACCCAGCAATCGTTGCTATTGTAGTCTCCTGAAGGACACAGTGAGAGGGTATGGCGCTTCACGTAATGGGCATAATTACCAAGACCGCTGTGAGGAAGGAAAAATATCAGCCACTAACACGATGGATAGAAAGTAAAGGTAGCCTTACGTCCAGGGCTCACCATTAGTATAGTTCGCCAACACACTATCTACTTGAGTAATCTCTTCCAAGGCATCAATATCGGAAACATTGCCGCAGAAGTAGAAAAAGTCTCTCGATCCATAAGTGGAATTCCAATTCAACTCTTGCCACGTATTTGAGTGGTAGAATCCAGGGTTTCCTATGGGGTCCTATATATTGAGTTAGCAGCTGAGTAGTTGGAGCTGGGGATGAAAGTTCTATGTTTAGGACTAGAGTGAGTTTCTTGGTTATGAGATTAAAGAAGGGAACTCACTGCAATAGCCGATGCAAAGTCTCGGTGGTCCGTTAGAGATTCGAGACCGAAGAGAGCCTTGAACTGCTTGATTGCTTTGGTGTGGTTCTTAGCCACGAGAAGGTCGAAATTGTCCACGATCTTATTGATTCGTGTGACACAGTCCTGGGGAGCGTATTTCTGGATGGGATTGTACCATTCGGGATAGCCCACATTCACCTTGATCGGGGCTGAGGAGGCAATTCCACCGTAGAGAATGTCCCCATACACCTTAATCGATGCAGCTGTCTGCGCCCCCGCCAAGCTGCCGCCGTACACTATCCATGGCGTGTTTGGTGCAATGAGGCTTCCATTAACACCGGGGAACACAGCATTCTGAGCAAAGTGGGCGTTGTCAGCTATGGTTTGGTTTGTAGTGAGGAAAAGTAGTTCATCCGTGGTGCTGGTCTTGAAGGGGAAAGAAGCTCCATAGTAGCGGTTCTCGAGAATGACACCTTCACAACTCGTTAGTACTAGTTCCACTCTCGTCTTCTTCTTATCTATATTCATCTACGAATGTATATACGGGACGTACCTAAGCCGCTTGTAGCTTGCATCAGAATTTGAATAATTCCAGTCTGCAGATTTGAGAATCTACTCGGTCCGCTAGTCTCTCCTGAGATGTACAAGTAGACAGGACCGCCTGCAAAGAGGTTAGCATCGCTGTATCAAGTATAGGGCACCATGTAAACTAACCAGGCTTATAGTAAGAGCTATCAAAGTAATATCGCTGCTTGAAGGTGCCATGGCTCAGATTGGACTTGGAGAACAGCTCATTGTCGGGGAAGTGGTTGATCTTCTGATCGAAGTAGTGAACACCATATTGAAGCTTATCCCGAGGCGCTTCGCGTTTTATTTGCAACGCTGCGGCATCCTGGGATAGGGCGGCCAAGAGGCTAATGGACAACCAATGTAGCTTCATGTCGTTGGGTGAGACTATGCGATACCAAGAGAACGGATAGCAAAGTGCCAAGGTTGGGAATTATATGCTATGGAGATCCGGATCGACGGGGGCTGAAGGCCTTAACCGAATAGAAGACCATCTTCTAGCACGTCAGCTTGCGTGCGCTACCTAGTCGAGTTTGCCAAATACGATAAGAAGTAACGCAAACAATTCCTTAGTTAGGAAAGTTGCACGACGTCGTATTGCATGCTGACTAGATACTATCCCGGTTTATTAGTGGAGGTGCCTGGCTGCTTACCCAGATGGATACCTATGATATAGATATGTACACTAGATAGCCGGTATGTAACTTCAAAATGCGGTCAGATCCTAGGAATTGTCCACAAATCGTATAGTTGGCTAACCGGCGTAATGTGGAGGACACCTATAGACACCCGGATCGAGGTTGAAGAGCATCGTCGTGCTACCGAGAGGCCGTGAATAGCAAACACTGACGGCAGCGAATGGCAACGAAGGCTGCGGTACTTAACCTCGGGGTTTGTTTTAGGTCCAGTTATCTAAAAATGCGGATAATTGCTGCATGCATCTTTCTTGATGTACTAGGTTAGTATATTCGCCGAGGTCATTACACATAATATGTCTATTACTCTTCATTGCCGTCTTAGTTGTAAGACATTCTCCAAATACTCTAGGTTAACTAAGTAGGTAGGTACCTACCAAGTAATACAGATGTAATAACGCAACTAATTTGTGCCGGAAGGGAAAGAAAAGAAATAAAAAAGACTCCACCATGATATTTACAACTTAGGATGAAGAAACTCGGTTAGTCTCTATAGTAGAGCCAAGAAGAGAAAATACCTATGTATGCATTTAGTGTATTCATATTAATTCAGCCCTATCCATCTCGGAGCGCACCGATGTTACGCTACGCTGCATAAAGTGAAGACCGCACCTATTTAAAGGGGATATGCCGAGGGTTTTCCCGTTACGGCGCAGGACCTCAGCTTATTCTAACTAACTACCTACCTAACCAACCTAGTAGCTAATACATCCAACCGCTTCTTCTTCCACTTCTTAAGAGAACCAGTACGGACTAGATTAACCTAGGTTAGGACGTTGGTCCAGCGCAAGCGTAAATGCTACTCCTACATCTACATCTACATCTACGTAGATCCGCGTCATGCCGCCCTTGGTCAGGATAAGGTGGGATTGACTCAGGGGTAATTCCATCTCTCTGTTGAATTACATTAGGGGCTCTGTAACCGTTTTGGGGAGTTGACGCCATCGTCGTTGTCGTCTATCCTCTGCGAATATGACGGCGGCGTCCGTACCTCGTATACGAGCTCGTAAGCCCAAAGTCCGCTCCGGTAGGTCTCGTCTCATAAGTCTACTTTGATTGCCGTGTCTACCATGAGGACCTGCTTCGTTAACCTTGGACTAAAGGCTGCGCTACGTGTAAATCCCGTAAAATCAAATGCGACGAAGGTCGGCCGGCCTGTGCTCGCTGTCAGAAAAGTCGACTGCCTTGCAAATATGACCAAGGCAGGACTCGAGATGGCTTCGTACCGGCATTTAATAACGGCGACGCTGGTTCGCAGTTGGCTCCAGGGGTGCGTTTACATGATTTTGAGGGGCATGAGGTCTTCTACTTCGACTTATTCCGCAATGTCGTCGTGTGCAATCTCTCTCTGAACGGGTATAAGAATTTCTGGACCCGGACTGTACTTCGCGAGAGCCTCAGAGATGAATGCGTGCGAGACTGCGTCCTGGGTACCGGCGCGTTGTGCCGGGCAATGATGGATCAGATTCACCGTTTAAAGCAGCCGGGGGCGAAGTCCCTTTGGATGGTCCCGACAGATTCTCTCAACCCTGTTAATACTAGATATCACAGGGACGCACTCCAGCTTTATACCACGGCCATCTCAAAGTTTCGAAGGCGGATGATGCTCGAAAGCTCGTCTATTACGCCACGAACAATCCTGATCGTCAGCATTTTATTCATCATATTCGAGGCGATGCAGGGCAACACAGAGACCATCGACCGGCTTATGCACTCTGCCATACTCGCTTTGGAGAGTTCCATGTCAGGCAGTATGACGTTTGGTTCTCGACTACCACCAACTCTAGACGACGAGGGCGTTCGTGAAGCAGACTATTTCCTCGCACGCCTCTCTGGGTTCAACTCTTTGCTATCCCCATTTTATCCCGCCATACTGAGAAACAAAGCATATCAAAGGACCTGGTTATGTAAAGATGCTATTCCTAGCAGCGACCAAAGCATACAACAGATAGAGCATAACTTCGAAAGGCACACGACATACATGTTATTTTGGTGTTTCCGTACAGTCCAAACCAAACTTCCCAATGACCCAACGGATTTTATCAAATTCCAGGAGGAACAGACGCTTGCTATAGATCAATCAAAAATTTGGTGCGAATTTTTGGAAAGCAAAGTAGACCAGGAGAAGGATCCCGTCCAGTGCTGGAGTTGGAAGATTATGCTAGTAGAGGCGAAGATGTTCAACATCTACGCTCATTACCGCCACGACCCAGAAGAATGCGAGGCTATGTGGGATTCACAACTCCCCATCTGCCGTGAAATCATCGCACTCG